AACCCCTAAACCCCCACAACCCCTAAACCCCCAAAACCCCCTAAACCCCCTAAACCCCTAAACCACTGGACCCTTCAGTCTCAAACCTCAAAGCCCAGCCCAGCCCAGCCCAGCCCAGGAGCGCCTCGCCCCAAGCGCCTGCATAGGGCCGGTTCGTGCCGCCGAATTGCCCGCCCTGCTCCTTGTACTCCCACACCTTTCGGAAGGCTCTACAGGGGTTCTAATTTAGGGGCTTTAATCATTATCTATAGTATTTTGGGCGGGGGTTCCTGATTATTTTTATAGTATAATGGGCAAGGCAAGGCGGAGCAGACGCCCAAAAGGGGCCCATGATTCCTATGATGACACCTTTCTGAAGGCAAGGCAGAGCAGACGCTAGAGGGCCTGGGTCTATATGATGATGAAGCTTTCAGACCGGGCAAGACGAGAATGCCGAAAAACGATCTTCTTCTGAAAGACCCTCTTTGCCTGGCACTTTCCTTTCGCACTTTCTTTCGGAGCTGCGGGTCGCATACTACATCGTCGTCTCCGAAGCGAGAGCCTTGGGCACCACGTAGTCAGCTGGCAGCGAAGGCTTCTCCTTACGGCTGGGGGCTGGGGGTGTTGGGTGTTGGGATATGTTGGGATGTCGGAAGGGTTTAGGGTTTAGGAGCCCCAGATTCTCGACCCCTGCCTCTGCCATTTCGAGGGAAGGGCTCGTGGATGGCGCAAGGCACCTAATGGGCACCAGGCTTTCGGGCAAGTGCGGACTTGCCTTCGCGGCCGCCGGCGTCGTGCGTTTGAAGCCGGGTCTGTTTCGCCGCGCTGACCATTCTGTACCCACAGAAGCCACTAGAAATCAACCACTGCCGTCATTAGATATCCGCATGTGCAGGGAACAAGAAACCAGAGAGAAATCCGATGAGAGAGCACATTCGAGCGAGCCACTGACCCATGCAAACTGCCTTCTCGGAGACGCAGATGCACACCCTTGAGCCAAAAGGCAGGCGGAAGCCAGCTGGTCTCACATGTCACAGTGTTGCTCAAAGATGACCCTTGTGGGATCTGCATCATGCTCCCGCGAGACTGGCATCTGCTCGGGCGTGGCACGCTACTACTTGTAAAGCTTGTCTCGATCTTCCTAGATGGAGAACATAAACTGATAGCTTCAATCACAAAGCTCGACACTTTTAGCTTGGCCCCTAAACTGAACCGTAATCTTTTAAAGTCCAATGCTGCTCGGTGACGGTTGCTCGGTCCGCAAAAGAAGTCCAAAGATCCTTGCCTCCCAAGACTAAGATCCCACAGCTCCGGCTTGGGCCGAGGCAAGCTCAGCTGCACCTGCACCAGCTTGCAAGTGCCAAGACCATTTAGTGGAGGGACTTGCGTCTGCATGCAAGATGATGACAGCTTCCTAAAAGGGATCACTTGCTCCCGAGCTGTTCCGGCTTCTGCAGAGTCGTGATGCCGCTTCATCTGCAAAGAAACAGGGTCAATTGTGTTGGAAAGCTCCGGAGTAATTATTATATATCGATGTTGACTGGAAGGCATCAGGGCATACAACTGGTCTGCATCCCACAAACTCGGAACCTCAGCGCACTAACGCTGCAGAGTCTGCTAGGCCCCCGTGTTGCGCGATGCCTGCTTCAGGGCTCTGGCAGGCAATGCTGGCACCGCGGGCTGGCCAGGGTAGGAACTCGCACCTGAACTGAGCAACGTTCTTGGGAAATATTGGTGGAGCTGAGTCGGTGGGGAGTGTGATCGCGGTACGACTGGGCTGAGGCTTCTTTGCTTCACGGCTTGGGGTTTGGGTGCAGGGAGGCTCCACTTGTCCTAACATCTTGGCTGCAACCCGTCAACTCCCACGTGAGGCTCGGGCGCTCGAGAGGAGTCGGTGCTCGGGTTGGAGTGGATCCAGGCTGGCATTGGGGTGGTTGTCAAAATTATTTTGGGGTACCATAATTTTGACAACCACCCATTGACGGGAGAGATCTGCGGCTCTGGGCTTCCACGCCACAGTCTTACGCCCTGTTCGGGATGCGCCGCACATCATCCGCGGGGTATGCATGCCCTACAGTCTACACCAGACTTTTCAGAGGATCCGGAATCCGATGCATGGAAAGACCTCCTGAAGCCTCCAAAACTCGGCTGGCTGCACCACCAGGAGATGACCAGGGTAGGGCCTCAGACCCTAAACCCTAAACCCCTAACCCTAAACCCTAAACCCTAAGCCCTTAACCCTAAACAGAATCCACAGTTGCGTTGTCCTGCAAGAGCTGGAGAAAGCTGGGCGCCCCACGAGCCCACACCGCTGAGACTGAGAGCCGGTGTTCCCTGCTCATACGAAAGCCGGACCCATCACAACCTATCATAACCTAGGGTTTAGGGTTTAGGGTTTAGGGTTTCATAACCTATCATAGCCTCTCATAACCTATCTTCCTACCAGAAGCAATCGCGGCTCTCCCAAAATCAAAAAGGGGGCTGTTCTTTCTTGGCAGGAAGAGGCCTGGCCCTCTGGATGCGAATTTGCACGCCCCAGCCGCAGCAGAAGATTGGTTCTCCGAATGACCTCGCGGTCGCGCAAGCTGCGGCGGCTTTTCGGCTTCGACTTCTAGGCGTTTGAAAAGATTTCTGGAGCTTTGGGGCCGCTTCTTCCTTTCCACAGAGTAGCCGAGAGAGTCGGACAAGATCAGCTCAGACCCAAACGTCTTCGCTGGGGATCTGATTCCGCTTCTCTTCCAGCCTGGCACGGAACGGAGGCGCCAGGGAAGCTTTCGCCTGCAGCCTCCTTGGGAAACCCCAGACGGTTGAAGACTCCAGATGCCCGGCTTCTCGCCTTCGCCATTCTTTCTGGATCTCAATGAGCTGTCGCCCCAGGGCCTGGCAGAAGTGTTCCGATGCCAAGGTCTTCAACCCTCGATTCCTCAAAACCGCAACCCACTGAGACTTTTTTGATGCGGCGCCGTGGCGCCAGAGCAGACCTTCCAGAAGAATCCTCGGTCCGGGTCTTGCTGGACGGGTGACAGCGATGGCCGAGAACACAACTTGCAAGAGGCCGAAACACTAGACCCGGCGGAACCACAACATGCGAAGAACAGTGGTCATAGGTTTCAATCTTGCTTCTCGGCACTACGTTTGCGACGAGCAAGGCTTCGATGACAGCGGCGGTGTCCCCTTCTCCGGCCGGCTCGAGTTTGTGCTGTGGGCGAGTCCCCCAAAGCATTGCGACAGGGTGGAAGAGCAGGGAAGGAGGTAGAGAGAGAGAGAGAGAGCCGCCCCGAAATCAGACAAGACTGTGACGAAAGAGGTCATGCTGCATGCTGTTGCTTTGCAATGCTGTTGGTGGGGTCTGAGCTGTGAGGCCGAACGCACAGAATCGCAGGCCCAGCGTCCAGGTCTCGCTCGTCCTCGCCTCCTGCCGGCAGCAGTGAGTCTTCAGCTAGCGAAGTTTCAGCAGTGCGGTACTGCTCTGTCTTAGTTTGGGGTTCTTGGTTCTGGATTCGGGGGTGTTGACTACCAGACTACCACTAGAGCCAGGCACCTTGGTCCTTTCAAAATCCACTTGGGCACAGCAAGCTCGCTCCTCCCATGTAGACTCGAGTTCCACCACGTTGGCATTCCTTGGCCCACTGCTGCAATGCTTGAATTCTGAAAGCTTGACTGCGTCTTTTGATTTAGGCCCCTGCGTCTTACCCTAAGGCCTGCTCTCCACTTTGGCACTACGGTTCAGACTGCTGTCGACGAAGACGGGGGCCTCGACTACATGCTGCACTGGTAGTAGGAAATTCCATCAAGGAGAGCTGCACGGCGCAAGAGCTGGCGGCGCGAGCGCTCTCGCAATTCATGATCGATGCCTGTCCAGGTGCTCGGGTTCGCTACAGCTGAAGATATGCCAGGAATGTGAGAACAATGAGCTTCACTGAAGGAAGATTCGACCTACGGATTGTCGTGGAATTTCCTGGAGTTGGAGATATGTGCACACGTAGGGTAGCGTCTGTTTCCAAACCGTACTTATACGTCTGAAGCACCACTTCAACTGTGCGGGTAGCACGGTCAAACTCACTCCCAAAGGGTCGTACCGGCACTGCAATGAGGTACGACAATCCAACTGTGGTGCTTTGAGTGAATGACCTTGTTTCTGGATGCTGCCTCGAAGCTGCGAGGATCCGTGCACGCCTTGATGTTGCCGGAGTTCCGTGAGCAGGAGTCTAAGCTGCCCTAGCAGGCTTAAGACACTAAGGCGACACGGAGGCCATTCCATACTTGTACCATTTGCCTAAACTGGTGTCTAGGGCAGCAATAGCTCTCGCTCGACACATTCGCAATAGCAGCTGACACGACAAAGAAGAGCGGCGACAGGACGTGCAGCGGCAGCAGCATGGCTGCAGCAGCGCAGCAGCAGAAAGGTGCGGAGAGTTCGACCCAAAGGAAACCGATGCTGGGATGCGTTTGATTGAGAATACGCCTGGAAGTCACGTGACTGATCTGTGTTTGCGAATCCTGAACCGTTGCTGTCACATACAAAGTTCAATCCACCAATTACCTTAATGGACCTTCCTGCTTCCAGTGCTTCGGCCAAGCTGGTTGAAGTCAAGAGAGCGCCGCATTTGAGGCCACTCTCGGAGATTTGCCAGGCCCCATTTTACATGTAAGACGGTACGTACATGTCATGGCACTCTACCGACAGCTTCAGATTGTGGAGGACAAGCTCCGAACCCAAGAGCTGCCTTTCATCTCTGAGACATCACAGCTTCAGGCTGTCAGGCACCAACTGCACTCGAGATTACCACATGTTGGGCGGAGGCAGACCACCACTAAGCCTTAAGGCTCAAAGCCCAAAGTCGCCCCTAGAAATCCAAGGTAGCTTTGGATTTTTCACAGGGCCGAGGCAAGGCTCCGAGCAGAGCAGCGCCTCAAATTCACCCGCCTCAACGTCCTGGGAGGATCTGACAAACGGGTTTTATAGGGTTTAGGGTTCAGGGTTCAGGGTTCAGGGTTTATAGAGTTTATAGGGTTTAGGGTTTAGGGTTTAGGGTTTAGGATTTAGGATTTAGGGTTTAGGGTTTAGGGTTTAGGATTTAGGGTTTAGGGTTTAGGGTTTAGAACGCCAGTCTTATAGTCTTTGCAACCGAAGCTGTCATCACCCCTCTGGGAGGGGCAAGAACCTCGGCCTGGCAAGTCACGGCCTGAGCTCTGCTCCAGGGGGAACTAGCCCACAAATAGAAACAGGTATATGGGAGTTTCCGAAAATAGGGGACCCTAATATAGTACCCTAAATTATAGGATCCTTATCATAAGGACCCCAAAATAAGGTACCCCAATTTTCGGAAACCCCCATAATATCGATGAATTCAAAAGAATGCGGGACAGTCTGCGTAAATAGGTTTGCCTCAAGGTGTTGGGGTGTTACGTAACAGCCACATGCATCTACAACTAGGCAAGGCTGACATGGCTGTCAGGCGAACGCAGCCGCAGCCGAAAGTGTCCATGGGGCTTCTTGCGGAGCGAGCTCCGTGAACCCACAGGAGCACCGACACAGCTGGGGCCCACAGCCTGAATCTACGTAGCTAAATGGGTAGTTGTCAAAATTATGGTCCGTTTGGGGGTACCCTAAATACTAGGTGCCTTATTATAATAAGGACCCAAAAAGGGACCACAATTTTGACAACCACCCAAATGAAAGCATTGGCGCTCAGATGGCGTTGAAAAGGCGCAGCGCGTCGAACACGAAGCCCACGGTATTCGTGGCAAGGATGACGGAGAAGAGTGGGAGCATAATCGGCGTGGTCTGGAGGAAGCCGCTACGAAATTCCAAAGGAAACTCCTGCTAGCATTTCACAAGTCATCAGCAAGTGTATGTGACCTCCGAGCCCCTCGTCGCAATGCTCCGGCACTTGACTCTCGGGTTATCTGAACTCAGACTCACATGCGAACTACGACAAATTTGAGCATGTTGTTCAACTAGTTACTTTTCCTAACAGGCGCTAAAAAGCCGGTAGATGTTGTGATAGGAGCAGCTGGGTTGAAGTCCATGCAAGCCCTGTGTGTCCTTCAAAAATGTACGCATCGAGTTCCTCAGCGTCGGCTGCTTGAACAGCAAGCGCTTGGTGAGGTTGTCCATCCTGGGACTCCCATCCGGGATGCAAGAAGTGTACGAAATGACTCTCATCCCTGGCCAAATTCAACGAAGTGACAATCACGGCGCGGTGTTGACGGCCGGAGCTCTGACATTGACATGGCAAATGTGCGTGTGTGTGTGTGTGTGTGTGTGTGGGGGGGGTAGGGGGGGGAGGTCAAAAACTCTGACGTTTGCTATTTGATAGCTGAAGCCTGCAGCAACGCAGACTTCAGCGCTAGTGTGACAGCAAGTAGATCCGAAATATTCTTGCTTTCACCGGTGTGTTCGGTGCTCTTGACCCGCGCATTCCGGTATCCCGTAGCACTGTGCCAAACCCGGAGCCGGAAAGGCAAAAAGCGGCCCAGCATCCTCCAAGCATAATAGTTACCTCAGTCACTTGCAGAGACATGGCAAAGGACAAGCTTGTAGTCTATGCGTGATAACAGCCAACATGCGTGCCTTACGACGCGATTCCGACTCCCCTGAGATCGCACTGACCAAACACAGCTTCACCTCAAAATCGCTTGACCTCCCAAAGCACGCTTGTTGGCTCTGGGAGACTAAACCGAAGCTCAGTTGCTTCCCCACGGCAGAATTCCGGTGATCCAACTCCCTGCTCCAAACCTGCCGAGGTCGGCGACATCCGAGCTTCCAGGGGCTTTTTTTTGCGACCGGCAGCAAACGCATCTCAGCAAACGCACACGTAATTCGAGCTGGGGCCAAACAGCATCGCTGACCCCTCGAAGCATGTCTCTTCATGAGTCCGCGGCACCATGGGGATCCGCCCACGAACCAGGAGAGCCGAACGATGAGATTCCTAGGTCTTCAGCCGGGAATGAATTCCCGTTGCATGGGGCTGTCAGCGACCTGAAAAACAACCATCCTGCAACCAGGACTGAAAGCAATTCCGAGGCTCCAGTAGGACTTGAGCCGTAGAACACGCTCATCGCCGGGGTCCGCCGCGATCCCTCGGGTCATGCTCCAGATTGACCTGAAGCCACGTCGCATCCAATCCTGCTCCGTTCCGAAGATTCACTAACGTCACTGCAACCACCCTTCAGCCGACCCATGACTCCCCAGAGCGACGCTTCGTCCCTCTGCTCCCGCACTTCTGCAGTGACGGGCGGCCAGATCATGATGCTGACCTCGATCACCCAGAAGATTTGCAGAGGCCTCGGCCGAACTGCGAAAGACTGTTCTTCGAAACGAATGAAGGACTCCAATCGCTCTCCTCAGTCTGATCAAGCGAGAGAACGAGCAAGATTAGGACTAGAATCTAGAACAGTAGAGTGGCGGATAGGTGCTGCGATCGGAAGGGTTTCCCATGTTGCACTTTGCTACTCTGCTGCGTAGCATTCTTGGGATTGAACTTCGGAGAGCAATGCCACCCGATGAAGCACACACCAATTGATGGTGTGGTCCCATCGTACCGTCGTGCCGAGGCTATGATTGGTGCATAAAACCTGGAAACACATCGCCCCAAGCTTCCACGGAGAGCCACGCCAAACATAGGCTGACTCTGAAGGACCCCGAACACCCACAGTGCCGAAATGAAGACCAGGTGACATGGCGACCTGATCCTGGATCTTCTTATACCTTGGCTGGTCCGTGTACAAAGCTTGCGGCTTGTAATTCGCAGTTGCACGAAGACCGGAATGCAACGTCCCCGGCTTCGAGCTTGGGCCTTTGCTGCAGGACTCTGAAAGCTCTCACTACAATTTCCAGTGGCATCCCGGGTGCAACGCCCAGCTGCTGGCATACTTCACCTGACGGCAGTATAGATCGGAATGTTACAACCCGAGAACTGGGGCCTAGGGCTCTTCAGCAGTACGTACTTGGGCTACTCACTCTGGCTCCAAGGTCAGCAACACCCAGCCGGGAAAGCTGTGGGACCGTCCGGCTATGGAGCGGCAAAGGAAACCGGAGTTCTGGGAACCACGAGCCGTGGGAAGGTAGGGAAGGAAGGGAATATGGAGAAGGAAGGGAGGGAAAGGTGTGCAACTAGTCCTGCTACCCATGCCCGTCCGCTAGTGCTTCTTCTGCTGGACGGGTGTCTGAAGGAACTTCGATCGGGATCTTCGTCAACTCTTAGCATGGCCAGGTCCAACTGTCTGGTTTCTGCCGACACCCAGCACGCCACCATCTTGTGCTGGCACTGCTCTCCGGAACGGCCGTCAACCACAACAATTCCTTCACTTCGGATTTCTCCGGTGACAAAGTTTAGAGTACCGGGAGTGTGAGTGGCTCGGTCGATGTAGTATTTACGTTTGTCAAGTCGGGAGCTCAGACAGGAGCACAAAGTGCCAAGGATCAAAAACGTATCAACAGCGGCCCTGATGAGCTCTGAAAAGTCACTGGAATGTCCGATGGCCTGAAACCGGTAAAGGTCGTGAACGGAGACATGGATCGAGTTCTCGGAGAAGGCGACGGCTTCCAGGCCACTAAGAGCAATCTCCTTTGAACCGGGTGGCACTTCTGAACAAGACTACATCCGTCCCTGTGATTGTCTGACTCGCATGAACCTCGGCCTAAAGTGAAAGCACCGCTGTCCTCGTTCAAATCGTTAAAGGCTGTCAGCAGGGCCATAAAGCAGAGCTCCTGCGACAGTCACAGCACCACCCATCCATCCGTGCATGTGCAGAATTATCCATCTACACGACTTGCAACTAATTGCCGTCATGCTCAGTGCTCTGGACTTCCAACTGCAAAGTCTATCGGGATGATAATGTTGGTGAT